AACGGTCAGTGGAGTAGGCCGGAAGACAACAAAACAAATATCCCCGGTAGGCTCCCTGACGGAAGGGCAGTGGAGTAGGCCGGGAGATAAGAAAAAAAGAAAAGAAGAAGCTCACCGTTAGACGGTCGGTAGAGGAGAAATGTCTCTGGTAGGCTCCCTGGCAGAATGGCCAGTGGAGTAGGCCGGAAGACAAAATAAAAACATTTCAGGTAGGCTCCCTGACGGAAGGGCAGTGGAGTAGGCCGAGAGATAAGAAAAAAAAAGAAAAGAAGAAGCTCACCGTTAGAAGGACGGTAGGGTATCTGGTAGGCTCCCTGGCAGAATGGCCAGTGGAGCAGGCCGCAAGACGAAAGAAAAATATAGGGGTGTCCCCTGATGGGGCAGTGGATTAGGCCGGCAGATAGAAAAAAAGGAAGCTCCCCGGAGGGATGGTGGAGTAGGAGCATATCCAGTACGCTGGCGAAATGGCCGGAGGACGGAAACAAAAACGGAATGTTCCCGCTAGGCTCCCTGACGGAGGAACAGTGGAGTGTGCCGGGAGAAGAAACAAACAAATACGTTTATAATTAATTGATGTTATTTTATGTTGGTAAAAAAAAAAGATTTTGGACCATAAAAAAAAATCACTGGACTTAATTTTCAGGATACAAGCTGTCTAAGAGCTGTTAAGAGATTTTAGATTTATTTTTTCAAAGTAATGTAAGGTAAATTTTAGAAAGAATTCTAGAGATAACTCCACGGTATTTCAGAAAGAAGTGTGATATCAGAGCAATTTTTTAGGTTGCTCTGTGGAAGCTTTCATGGCGATTGTGAAGGATCCAGGATCCGAAGGGATACTAAGGGAATCGAGTTTTGAGGGTAAACTTTCAATGGATTTGTGGAACTTGCAAGTATGAATTGCATGGGAATTCTAAGGAGAATTAATGAGAAATAAAAAAAAATAGGAATTTCAGTAAATTTTTGGAGAAAGTATGGAACTTCGTCGAATTCCATGTTTTTTTTTGAGTATTCTGCAGAGAACTTCTAATTTGTTATAAACATTTTTTCAAGGTACTCCCAAGGAGAATCTCAGATTAATTTTTGAAAGATTCTGATAAGTTCTCTGCGAAGGGACGTTCTTTACAAGAAGATGTTTGAGATCAATCAAGTAAAAGCCTCTAAAGTTTTGAGAGGATTTTCTTAGGCGGGTGTTGAAGACTTCGGTAGTTAGTTGGTTCGTTAGATATCTGTATTCAAGAGACAAGTTGACTTCGAGCGCAGAACCAGGTTCAAGATTGTAAAACAAATTATTCTGTCTTAGTTATTACTCATTTAACCTAGTGGTCTCTTTGGCTCAATCGCATTTGGTTTGAATGTAGGTATATCGCAAAACCGGGACAATTTCCAAAATTCCGAAAGCAAGAGAAGCTGGAAAACGGGAAATTGCTAATCAGGATTTGCTGGTTCCCATGCAGTATTCAACACAGGTTGTTATAGTTATAAAAGCAATATTGAAGATGATGGTAAAAGACAAGTTGATGATTAAGTTGAAATTTTTGGCAAAGGTGAAGTATTGATGAAATCTAAGTTAAGGTAGTTATGGTAGTTGTGGTTTAACAATACATATTGGTATTGGTACCAATGCGGGACCTGATGGTAACATCGAATTTGATAATGATTTTAAGATGTAGGCAATATTGAAGTGTACGGTAATGATTGTAAGTTTGTTGTAATTTTGAAAATTTAATTGTATTTGACGATAGAGTGTCATTGGTTAATGCAAATGAAGTAAGATTGAAGTGAATGTGCGGATCTTATGAATCATTTCCATCCGGTGGCTATCGCAGATTTCTATCACAGCTGTCAAAGTTCCAATTTGCTATATATTTAAAAAAAATCAGTGTTGAAGCCGATTGGTAATGAAACGCAATTTTGGACTGTACTGTGATGTTGAGATTGATTACATAATAGAAGTTGATAGTAATGTTGAAGTTAATGGGATATCGAGGATATGTAAGTTGATTATAATATTACATTTAATGAAGTTAAAGATAATGTTGAAAGTGAGTACGAATTTGGAGTCAGATGCAATGTTGAAGTTGATGATAATGATGAATAAGATGCGTTTTTAAGATGACGTTTTTATTTTTTCAGTTAATGTTGAAATTTATGCGCATGTTGACATTCATGGAAATGTTGACACTGATTTTTTTTGTTGCAGACGACAGCAATGATGCAGTTAATGATAATGTTGAGTTTGATGAGGCAACTGAAATTTATGGTAAACACTGATATGTTTACGACATTGTTGAAATTGATATCAGTGATTAACTTAATGACATATTTTGTAAAGCGATAGTAATACTGATGATAACAGTAATAACTTGTCAGTTAAGTTGAGTTTGCAGGCAATGTTGAAGATGTTAATTCTTGCAAGCTTGAAGTGATTGGAAATGTTGATGTACATGGTGATGTTGAATTTGATCTCTTTGCTGAAGTCCGTTTTCATGTTGAAGTTTATGGCGTTTTTGAAATTAATGATAATATTGAAATTAATGACGATGTATTTTATAATGCTGAAGCAGGTGACAATTTTGAAAGTAATAGTTATGGCTGATAATATTGAAGATAATGAAAGTTGAAACTGATGTCAATATTGTAGTGGAAATGATGAATTCTATAACAATAATGATAATAATAATAATAATAAAATAGGATGTATGTGTACTCAAGAGTACAGGAGGGGAAGGATGTGGTAGATAGAGTTGGTGTGGAATAATAATAATGAAATAAATAAAAACTTGAGAGGTGAGTCAAGTAATGAAACACTCAATTTGAGTTAAACTAAATTAGAGTGGAGCGTGGCAGAAGTGATAATAGAGAGATGCGAACAAAATCTCATGCTTAGTGAGGGGAAATTCTGACACAGCACGGAGGTATAAAAACGAGCTACCTAAGCTCGTAGAGGTCATTCTTGTAACTAACTTTGGAAGCAACGGAGACCAAACAGCAGCAGTAGCAGCAGCAGCAGCAGCAGGAGCATCAGCAGCAAGAGCAGCAGCAGTACTGGAAGCAGATCAGTCGAGATTCGTGTAGCCGTGACCGAGGCTGGAAACCTCGGTCCGGTCACGACAGCTAGTTCATCTCTTAACCTGAATTTCTCTGTACTTCCCTGAAGTTTTTGGAAATCGCCTAAAGTCCCTGAAATCATCCTGGAATTTAAGGAACTTTCTTGAAAATCATGTAATTTATCAGTTTTTGGAACATCTCCGAAATTACTGCTTTAAAGTTAACTGATCTTTCCCAAAATACTCTTAACTTCTCTAAAGTTATTAAAATGTGCCCTTAATTCATCTAAACTTCTCAGGGATTGTTTGAACTACCCTGAAGGTCTCGGAACATCTTAAAAGTTTTTGCAGTTGTCTGAAACTAATGAAACTACCTTGAAGTTCTCAAACCTTTGCTAAAGTCTGAAAATTACGGAAATTTCCTTAAACTGATTCCGCATTCTCTTGATGATCTGCTTATTTATTGATGCTCTCGGAACTTTGCTGAAGTTTTCGGATATTTTTTTAGGTTCTCAGAAGTACATTAAAGTTCCTGAAATTTACTTGAAGTTAATGGAACTGCCCAGTGATGAACACGCCCACGGCTGAAAATCACTTATTAAAATTAAAAAAAAAATAACCCTTTGCTGGTCTTTTGTTAAATTCCTTATATAATTCTTTCCAAGCTTTCCAAAATTCTCATCTCACTGAAGAAAACCACCACTCACCCACCGCACACGGTGATTGAATAAACACCGTTCGGTGAGACTTGATGGAATTCAATTTTGAAATCTGTGTTAGGGAAATTGCTTTTCGCAGGCAATCGGTGATAATTTTAATTATCATAACAACAGTTGCACATTCGTGCAATTTTAAATAGTGACAATTAAAAAAATGATAGTCTTGGTTTAACAGGTTCGCAGAAAAATTTTCTATCGATTTACGTATTAAGAATTAAAATCCATCATCTCTGATTCTTTTTTTTTTTTTTTTTTTTTACTTTATTATAGAGATTTTTAGCCATAGGCTAGTTCATCTCTTATCTCTGATTCAAAATCAGACCACTTTCATGTAGTGATCGACCTTGGTTTTTGAAATTTCACCCCCAATGTTGCCATAAAAATACATGATATGTTAGATTTAACCATATGGTATGTTAGATTTAACCAACTGACATCCGATTGATGAACTTGACAAATGTCCAGAAAATACTCATTAACATCTATGGTGGTCCTGAAAAGGATCATTTTGTCGTGATGCTCGTCGTGATGGTTGAGTAATGCTGAGCCAGGACCAGAAGGTCCCGAAGAAACGTGCTCAACTTTTTGACTCAGCTTCTCAGGTACTCTCTTCGGTCCCAAGCTAATCGATGCACCCCTCGAAACATAGGAAAATCCAAGAACCCTTCATTTTATCTGTCAAACTCATCAATCAAAACAAACAAAGTGTAGTACTAGAATTTCGACTAGAATAGGGCATGTGATTTGATTTGCTTGGGACCAATAGGGTAGTCAAGTAGTGAGCCAATTTAAAAATCGTTAGTTTCCACCGGTTGGTAGGATTCCCTCGAAGACACTACCCAACAAACAATTTGTGCTGATTTAAGGCTGAATAAGCTACAGAAGCATATGTCTGCCTAAACAAGCTCTTATTCTGGTACCAAAGTTTGTTGGGTGCTTCGTCTCTGAGGTAACCGACCTATTTTTGGGTACTATTACTTTACTAAATTATCATAAACGAACGATAAGCCAAATCATAGAACTGTTCCACAAATGGTTTGGATGATGCTCCGAACACGTCGTGAAGCCAAATAACCATACCAATTTTATTAGCATATGCTGGGCACATTTCTACCAATTTTTGGATTGTTTTAGGATAACGTGTACTTTTTATTCGAAAATGAGTAAATTTTATTAATGTTCAATAAGTTCTTTTCGGCCGTGAATATGTCAAACGTCAAAATAGGAAACTGCAGTTTGATGGTAGCCCTATCATACGATTTGTCACGTAAAGTCTTCATTTTAATGTACTCGTAAAAAATATTTCCTATTTTCACTTACTTTCAAGTGCATACGATTTAATAGTTTGCTCAATTGCGTTTAATTCTTTTCTGTGATAAGCTTTTCTAAAGGAACATATAAAAATGGTAAGATTTAATAGCAGCTCTATATAATGAACTTTGGAAGCAAACTTTGTTCAAAATTGTCACGCCCAAATCTTCTAATGTAATATTTTTTTTCAGACGGAACAGCAAATGGATTGTGCATTAGATTTGATGAGACGGCTTCCCCCTCAGCAGATCGAAAAAAATTTAATTGATTTGATCGACTTAGCTCCAGCTTTATGTGAAGATTTATTGACATCTGTCGATCAGCCTTTGAAAATAGCTAAAGATAAGGAAACGGGAAAAGATTACTTGCTCTGCGATTACAACCGGGATGGTGACTCATATCGGTCTCCATGGTCAAATACTTATGATCCACCACTAGAAGACGGTTCTATGCCTTCGGAACGCCTTCGGAAGCTAGAAATTGAGGCAAACCACGCATTTGACCAATATCGCGAAATGTATTACGAAGGTGGTGTTTCTTCTGCATACCTTTGGGACTTGGACCATGGATTTGCCGGAGTGATCCTTATAAAGAAAGCCGGAGAAGGAAATCAAAAGACCAAAGGATGCTGGGATTCAATCCACGTAGTTGAGGTGCAGGAAAAGAGTTCTGGAAGAACAGCACACTATAAGCTTACTTCCACTGCGATGTTATGGCTGCAGACACATAAGCAAGCATCTGGAACCATTAACTTGGGAGGCAGTTTGACTAGACAGGTACGATACAATAGATTTGTGACATATTCCTTAGACTCATCGCAAACCATTAGCCCAATATGCATCATCTTTGTTGGAAGTTTGCCTTTATAACATATGTTTACCATAAGGGAGTGAAGTCAATAATTTTCCCCCGCGTATTATCGCTTCCGGTACATGGAATTCTTCTATGCAGGAAAAATGCACTTTTATATGGTATGGACTGATTTTTTTTTCCCTTGATCTAGGTCCAGCCTGCTCAATCTGGACGAACTAATTTCTTTAAATGTCTATCTATGTTCGATAAAAAGGATTTAGGCTACGTTTTGTTTATTTCCTATATTATAATAGTCTCATTGTAGAAGGCCAGACACCACATTCAGAAATTTGGGCATGGTGAGCTAGGTTATTTTGAAAGTATCACTTAGTGAGAAAATTATGAACTATCAAAGTCTTCTGTCTATAATCGCATATCAGTCCCATATGGGAAAATGTCATGTTATGAAGTACGTTTCCCATGTAAATATTTGAATTATCCGAGCTTATAGGTGATTTTTTCTAGTTAAAATCAATTGAAGTATGATTTAAGTAATGAAGATTGCATATTTTGCTAAATTTGCAAATAAAATGAGGAATCAAAAAGCAGAATTGTAACTTTACCTCTGCTCAGGATAAGATTGATCTGCTTTTACTTTGCATAAGGGGCAAACTGACTTCATGTAGTTTTCATGTTTTTTCATAATAATAAGTTCTTGGGAACCATCCATAAATGACGGAGCATATTTTTCACCAATTTTAGACTCGTAGCGTATTTTTCTATACATGGTCGATCAAAACTTCTGATCCCAGTTTACGATTTAAAATAAAGATTAGCATGAAATACTGCTCATTGATTGATTGATTTATCTTTATTAGGGAGGCTTTCAGCCTGGGGCTGGTTCGCCTCCTCGATACTGCTCATGATTATCATGACTCTCTTCTTAAAACTAGCAGAAAACTCTTCTTGGCATTTATTTTGGGATCCCCTACACATTTTCATTAAATTCTCCTTAGAATTCCTTTGAAACCATCCTGAGAATTCGATCACTTTTAAATTCTTCTCAACATTTTCTGAACTCTTAGAAAAACTCTCCCCTAATAATTATTACTAGCTGACTAATTGAGGGATGACTGACAGCGTATATAATTAATCAAAATATTATCATAAAGATTAGTTTTTTAGTATAGCTAGTTACACGTTTAGTTGAATTATACTTTCTGCTTTAAAAGATGCTTCCTCTAATTTTGCTACTAAAAATAATTTTTGCACAAAGAACTTCAAACATGTGTAGGTATTTGATCACGTTTTCAAAGACTTTTGTTTCTTGCTGAAAAATTAGTTCGCAATTTCGAAGTTGCTTCTAAGACTCAGATTTTGGATATTTGTTGTATGTGTGAGACGTTGTTGAACTTTCAATGTCGGATATTTCAAAACATTTTCCAGATCTAAAAATTTTCATAATTTTTCAATACTGAGGTTTTTTAATTCGTTTTGATCAACATCCGCTCAGTTTACAGTACCTGTAAAAACCTGGAGTTGTCTTTTACCTTTTTAGTTCAGGGTTGTAACACTGGATAGCCGTCGATAACGTCTGCGTTAACTTGCATTGTAAACGTTCACCATTGCAGATGTTAACGCTGACGTTATCGACGGTTATATTGCCACTCACATTTCAAATATTTCTTTAGATAAATTATGTTTAATCGTTTAGACAATCTTGTTTCGAAAGGAGCAAGAAGATCACCACCAATTTTCGACAAAAATCATTCCAAACCTTTATAAGTGACAAATTAAAAAAAATGCTTCGTTTTAGGTTGAACAGGATGCACCGGTCAGCGAAACCAGTCCGCATATTGCTAATATTGGCCGTATCGTGGAGGATATGGAGAATAAAATTCGCAATACTTTGAATGAGATATACTTTGGCAAGACTAAAGACATAGTCAATGGATTGAGAAGCATTCAATCGTTGGCTGACGCAAACCAACAAGCTTCTTTGAAAAAAGAACTTGCAGCTGCACTACTTCGACGAACTGGTAAAGGAGAAAATTAAAATATCAATGCCAACTGAAATCATCGTCATGGTACGTAATCTTTCCTATTGTTACAACTTACTCTGAGTTCAATATAAATATAAAGTTATCATTTCCAGCGCTGAAATTATATATTTTGATGCTGTTGCTGTGCTGTTGTTCGCTTGATGCAAAGGCGAAATGATCGTGGAACTCTCTTATTTCGAATGGATAGGAATAATATCTACACATGAAAGCAAATGGCGATGTTTGTAATTCTAAGGATAGCGAATAAACAATATTTTAATGGTGTTAAGTATAGAGAAAACTTCAGGTTATTTTCAATCTATTTCAAAGTCTTACACAACAGATAAACAAGTGAGGACATCACTTCTGTATTGCTATAACTACCCTGATTTTTTTTTTGGTTGCATAAATAGCTTTTATGTATCATTTTGTTTCTAGAAAATCAACAAATATATTATTTTATTGCCTCGAATTTATCATTGCTGATTTTTTTGCCAAAGAAACTTTCATGTTGTTGTTTGAGTTTATGATCCTTGCTACTGGGTCCATGCATTAATTATGTCACGCTAAATCTAGGAAAAATTTACCACTCCCCCTTTCGTCACGTTTTTCCTAGACCTAATGCATTGCTTGCCCCTTGTTAGAGCGTGACATAATATATGCATCAACCCTAACTGTGACCGTCAATGGTATTGTTTTTGAATTCTCAAGTGGTTTGAGTAGTAGCAGGATGGTTTTGTTACGTTCTGGTTTATTAAGACACTTACTAACCCGAATATGTGATGGTTTATACCTTTAATTTGATGCAATTGTTTGGGAGAAACACGTGTTGTGTTACACTGGTTACACTAAAGGAACCTAGAGGCAAGACAGCTGTACTCAGAGTAATATATATGCAGCGAGTAAATTTGGGTTACTCACATTTACTCAAAATGATCAAAGTCGAGAAATTTGCTGTTAAAGTTTGAAGACCTCCTATGTAGGTAGGTATATATTTTAAAAGATGCGGAATAACCACTTAAGTAACGTCTTTGAAGATACCTATAACCTTTAAACGTTTAAAAAGAGAGAAAAACTTTGGTTTTTTTTTAAGAATGGGGCTACGGTGCGTCAGGGGTGCAGTTTACCCACAAGATCTTGTGGGGTTCGTAGTAAGCACGACTTCCGGCAATAATGCGTCTACGAATTTTTCTGTTGCAGTTTTTACCCGTCCAAGAAGGACGTATCGCTTGGAAACCCGACTTTCCATCCTAGGCCCGGAAGCCCGAGTCTCATATATCATTCGTTTCAGCTTGACGAGATCGAAAAATGTCTGTATGTGTGCATGATTGTACGAGTGTCACAACATATCAGGGGAAACATGTCAGAAGGGTATAACGCGAAACGTGAACAATGACTTTGAACGTCGATTTCTCTTGAATGATCACACACCCACGAAATCTGACTACACTAGCTCATAGAAAAAAACATTTCTCTGTCAGATGATTTAGTTAGTTTGAGTGGGTATGTTGTCATTCGTAAGAAACCGACGATCCAAGTCATTGTTTACGTTTCGAGTTAGACCCTTCTGACATGTTTCCCCTGATATTGTGACTCGTGTTTCTCGGCAACCACTGCACCGAACAACCTAAATCTGACGCAACAACCATCGAATGGAAGGTATCATGGTCCCATAGAACGAAATTTTTGGAATCGGTCATCTGATTCCGGAGACGTGGCCGGAACAAGGTCCGAAAACACGGATTTTGTGAACTAAGTCGTATTTTTCGACAACCACTGAATCGAAATGGATGCAACAACCGCCAAATTAAAGGAACGCTTCATTATAATCAAACAGGACCATATTGGTCGAATCCGGATATGTTCCGGCTACCCCCGGGGAAGTAGTCAGTTTCTAACCTTAGCTAAATTCCTGCATGCGATACCTCAATTCACACGAGAATTCAAAAAACCAGTTCGAAGGAAGTCATTCGGATATGTTCCGGATACCTCCGGGGAAGTGGCTAGTATCTGACCAGGGTCAAAATCCATCATGCGATACATCAAATTAATTTTTTTTTTATTATGGTTACTTTAACACTCTTGGGTCATTTGTGACTTGTTCGGGGTGAGATTTGAACTCGTGACTTTGGCGTGAGAGGTATGGATGTTAACCACTACGCCGGGGTCGCCCCCACAGATTACATTTATTATATTACATGATCTCACCACAGGTGGATTAATTCAGGTTTATTTTTGGCCTATCGATGGTTGTGATGCAAAAAAAAAAAAAATTTGGAGGCGAACCAGCCCAAGGCTGAAAGCCTCCCTAATAAAGCTAAATAATAATAATAATGTGATGCAAAAAATGTATCGGTAAAATATTAGGTATGCTTGACCCGGGACACCATTCCATTTTAATAGTTTCATATAGTTTCACAATAAGCATGAAAAATCGTCGCTGGTAATGTGATATAAGGGGCAATACTAACCCAACCTGATTACAGGAGCGTGGCCAATGCCGTTATTGTTCTTAAAATATAGAGTCACTGAACTTGTACATTAAGAATGGATGGTCACTCCCAACCGCATATGACATAGGGGAAATGGCTCTAGTGTTGGCCTATGGATCTAAGGTTGGGCCCATCGCTAAAAATCTGCTATTTATCAATTTTATCTAGATGAATGCGTCATTGGGACGGTACTAATGGATATTTTTTGTTGCTATTGAAAATTTTATTCGATTGCTGAATTTATGTATGGGCCCAAATTGGGGGCATTTAGGCCAACATTACATCTATTTCCCCTATTCCTGTTATGTGGAAGCCTAATAAATTTGCGCTATAAGAAAATCCGCTATGATTGAAAATGTGTCAGGTAAACACTATATAAATATCTGATACATTTACAATGCTGATAAGTTGATAGTTTTTATATGATCGTCATATGATAAATGAAAATCAGTCAAATTATAAAAATTAACTGAAATGAATTTAGTATAACATCGTGGAAAATGATGCAGAACAATTATATAATATGTATTTTCATTGGGAGCGATATTCATCCCAAAAACCAGGGTGCCTTCCATTCATTTTGACTAAAAAAATGTTTTAAGAAATTATGGAATAATAAGATCATTTAACTTCCAATAGTTTCTACATGTCTGTTTACAAGCTAGACATAATAACAAACGGTAAAAATCGTTAAAAGCAACTCCAATAAAATATATAAATTATCTTATAGATATGTATATCTTTTAGTGAGCCATATCATCACGAAAACAGGTATATTTTACTGGATTATATTATAGTGCAAATTTAAATGAATTTCCATTAGTTTCTAAATGTCTGTTTCCACCCATGACATATCAACAGTTTTCACCATAAAATATATCAGACAATATTCATATACATCTTTATGTACAATATTTTTGTAAATTCATTTATTTATTCATTTACATCTTGCCTATTGCTAACCACGTTCAAAGGAAAGGAATATCAACAATCAATACGAAACTAACGATTTTAAATTGGCTCACTACTTGATTAGCCTATTGGTCCCAAGCAAATCGATTAACGTATCCCATTCTAGTATAAATTCCAGTACTACACTATGTTTGTTTTGATTCGCTATGACAGTTTGGCAGATAATATGAGGGGTTAATGGATTTTCTTATGTTTCAAGGGGTGAATCTGAGCCAAAAAGTTGAGCTCGTTTCTTCGGGACCTTCTGGTCTTAGAGTTACCTCTATGGGAATATCATGTACTAAGTATGTGAAATTACGATAGAAATCATTCCATATCGCAGTCATAGTGGAAATCCAATGGAATCTATCAATCATCACATAGAATGAATAAATCTCGATGAACATTTCAAATGGTCCTATCTGCTTTGATCGATTCTCTTCATCGACTTTCTCTTTCGTCAATAACTCAGCTGCAAAACCTTTTCCTGTTGTATTTGACGTTTTGGACGCTAGATAAGAACCTCCTTTATCAAACTATGTGGTAGAATTAGCGCGAAATCTGTTTGCATAGCAGTGTTGTTGCAAACACATTGCATAGCAGTTGAAAAGAGAAAGTCGATGAAGAGAATCAATCAAAGCAGATAGGACCATTTGAAATGTTCATCGAGAAATCTTCTGACATTGCTTTATTTCCTATACCTAATACATTGCTTGTCACTAAATCTTACAAGGCGTCTGCTTATTAGTTGAGTTATACATTTTGTCAATAATCAGCAATAGAAATTTGCCAAAAGGTATAAGGAGATTTCTATCCGTGTATGATCTAGTAGGAATAAGAAATCTAATGGGAATGTTCGAGTGGCTCAGATTTTGACATTTCATTTGGCTCAAAACAATCTCTCCCCTCATCTTCCTCTGAGGATTATTTCTACTCGCCACTATATGAATGGTAGTGCAGTAATAGATTCAACTTCGTCTGTAATTCGATCGGCTGTGGCGGCCGCCGGACGACGATGATCTCGACGATGATACTATTATCGAGATGAGGAGACAAGACAAACAAAAACTGATAAAGAAAAATTAGAGATGAACTAGCCTAAGGCTAAAAATCTCTTTAATAAAGTTTTAAAAATAATGATAAAGAAAAACAATCATCGATCATTTTTATAACAAAGTCATAGGGTGTCGAACGATAAATTGTTTATGTTCAAGTTGTAAGTAATGACTTAAAGTTATTTTTTTGGTATTATTAAAACATCATTGACGATGCCTATTGATAGAAAGAATTGAATTTGGTTCTCCACAATGAAAATCGATGAAGATAATCGATCGAGCAGATTGGACCTTTGCAATAGTCGTGGAATGTTGACATTTATCGTGTAAATAATGTTGATGTTTTGGCAGCACTGCACAGCTGTCAAACGTGGTGTCGAAAATATGCATATATAAATACATTTACACTGATTTACAATATCGCTCCTAAGAGAATTTTTTGTAATAATTTGACTATTTTCGGAAATATCTGACAAATTTGAGCATTCACTAGAAATTTACACATGTAAGTTCAAGTTGTGGAGTGATGATTTATTTTAGAATTGGACGTGAAATCACCTGTGTACTTTAAGCGTGATATGCACTAAAATTATTGATGACGAATTACCTTCATCTTTGCTCTCACCAAAGTAACTATTTGTAGTTTTTTTGCGTATGATAGTTTTGTTCATTCAATGTTTTTGATGTTTGTTATAAAAATACAATGCATTCGGAATGTCGGAACAAGTGATTCATTTGTGTATATTATACAGTTGTCCGTATTATTTGTAACGTGTATCACATCTGATTTCGTCATCACTGGGAGTCTAGCTTTGGTTACAGAATTGATCAAAACATCTACATTACACATTTTATATGTTTTATGGAATATATTAAAGATTTTAATCAGCTGTTAAGCATTTAGCGAATAGATTAATCACAAGTGAATGCAAAACAAAAATATAAAATTCAATTTTTCCAGCTAAACCAATATGGCATCCAGCGAAAATAATAGTGATGAAGGAGGTAGGTCAGCTGTAATAATTGACGTTCCCTCAACTAATTCCGATATTATTTCAGGAACTGTAGCTGACTATGACCATATGATTCAAATCGAATATTTAAAGGAAAAATATCGAGACGTCATATCACAGCTTAAAACTGTATCCAATGAAAAAGAAAGGTATGTGTTGAAATGCCCATCTCTAAAAGAGAAACTTCAATCTGCTTACGATTCGATAAATCATCTCTTGTGTTTTTTTTTCTTCTGGATGTGCAACTTCAATTAAAATGAATATTTAGTAATTTAATTAGTATGCATTAATCGAACAATTAAATTAATGTAACATATAGAGATGAACTAGTCTGTCTTCGGCTAAAAATCTCTCAAATAAAGATTAAAAAAAAAATAATGTAACAAGCACCAATATAACGTGCATTCTGAAATCATGGGATCGTAGTTCTGTTTTACTTATAAGAAAAGAGATATCAAAAAAATTACCTCTAAAAATTATTAAAATATTCACTTATGCTAAATTTTATGCTATGTTTCGACTACGGAGTTATAACAGTTTATAATGAGGAAAATGGCACCAATATAACCTTATAATATGTTATAAAAACTCTTCAGTCTGAACATAGCATTACAAAGCTATACTGATGGCTTGTTTTGACTATTATAACTTGTTAAGGTCAGAAAGTCTTTGCTCTGACGTCACTTCGCATTTTCTGGAGCATAAATATTGTGCTTCTTATTGAATAATCGCATTATGCGATTCTAACAAAAATTAATATAGAACCCCGCAGGCACGATATATTTTTCCGGTATGGATGTGCGGGAATCATGCGGCCGAATAAAATGCTCTGCGCACTTATTTGGCGTCCCCATCGCAATTTTCTTGCAAAGTAGAATATCAGCTACCAGAAAACACAATAACAAAACTGCTTCCCTTTGCGAGGCAGAAAATATAGAGAAGCGAATTTCATGCTTGAAAGTATCCAAGATGTTACTACCTAGAAAATTTGTGACAGCTTTCCTGCTGCCGGTGATTTGGGAACGCACCCAACACAAAAATCCCCCCAATTTTCCCTAAGATTTAGTCAGTTCGCGTCGGTATGATGACGAAATTGTTGCATCGCCGTAGATGCTGATAAAATCGGCAGATGCACCCCAATTAGGACATCGACGACATCGACTAAAAAATAGGCCGATTTGTCGGTGCACCACTTATCTACTAACCTCTACTGACGAGTTAGTTGGTGTATAAAACAGTTGAATGTGTTAAATAAAATTTGATTTTTAATAAGTATATTAGTATAACATTAGTATAAAAACACATTAATATAAAAATTTGTTTTTAACACGAAAACCATAAAAACTGATCAAACAACTTCTTAAATGCTTTATTAAGGCAGATTAGATTGGACAACTGATGCAATTTTTCTTTCACTCATATTTATACGCAAAACGAATTTAAAGATTAAGTGTTAATAAAACACTAGTGGTTGACTATTGGGAGCTATTTCGTGAAATAGTTGCTGCGTGCGGACCTAGTACAAAAATGCGTCAAGTTTGGACCTGCGTCAAGTGTATTGCCTCCTTCAGGATTATCTTGGAACTCAACTCAGGATTGCCTTGAAATTCTCCTCATCATTTCCTGAGTTTTCTTCAAAGAATTCCTGAAAATTGTTTGTAATTATCCTCAGAATGTCTATACAATGTTAATTTCAATTCCCTCCGAATTTCTCATTGGAAGTCTTCGCACCATTTGTTTGAAATTATCTTCAGATTTAATTCCTTTTTTTGTGATTCTTGTTTCTTCAAATGCTCCTCAAAATTCGTTTGAAACTATATACAGAAAATAGTTATGAATTTTAACCATTGCGTAAAATCTGGCCTCGTTTTATTTATAATGGCATAATAAAACAATTCTCAGAACCCAATTAGATTTATTTTGTCATGTGCTTGGAATTGTCATGCAATTCTAACCGAAATTCCTTTCAAACTCGATATCGCCTATTCCAACGGCTACGGTTACTGGCTGGAGCGTCCTGGAGATTTTTTGAAGATGCGTCATTTTGACCTTGGATGGATTTCGGCTTACAAGGAACCAAGACCAATATGTTTAAAATGGACCCTACACGTTTGCTGTCATTGACAATATTCGTATTGTCAATAAACTATATATTGACATCAATTCATCAATATATTGATACGTGTGAGGTTCGCTTAAGAAAAGTGAAAGTCTACGCCCGAGATGTCAATCAGTTTAATCGGTCGAGTTTTGGCTGAGTTAGACCCCTTTTAGTGAAAGGACATTTTGGTACTACTCGAAAAGTTGGTCTCTGAACAAAATACAACCCTTGAGGTGAACAATTGATAATTTTTGCATGTTTTATGTGATATGGCTATAGAAGCAACCACAATCTCTAAGTTGGGGTCAAGAATTTGTTGAAGTCGAAAATGTCGATGGAACAAGGACAGACATAAAAAACATCTAAGAAATCGCTTTCTAGCTATAACCCTCATGAGCCTCCTGAGTCAATTAATGCAACAATAAGCTTAACGGAGCTTATCCGAACTATTATTGTGTCATAAAATTGTGGATTGAAAGAACGGCAAGAAAAACTCCTAATCACAAAAATTTATCGGCAAATTTTTAGGCACTCAACGTGTTTTACAAAGCCTATTGAGCCACTTTGCTATGGGGGACGCATTCCTTGCTTGCCGGTGCCCATACAAGGTGAATTAGAACACCTTAGGATTGACCTCTCAGAATCTTATCATAATTCCTTAAATACATATAGATCCTGATATTCAACCAAATATCCCAAATTTGTAAATCAGTGTTAAGAAGATAGATGAGCGCAAATTTCAACTTTTTTTACATTATTCATTCATTGATCCACAGATGCCCAGATGAATTCTACTTCAAATCAATTATTTCATTTTCAGGTTGGAAAGAGACTATCAGCTTATTAAAAAAGAATTGGAATCCGGTAAAGGAGATTTCTTCAACACATATCATGAGTACAATATGCTGAAGCAAAAATATGACAATCTGCGTTTGCGCTACGATGAATTCGTGAATGATCCTACCCACTGTATTAAACTATGTGAGGAGTTGAAAAAAGAACGCAATAAATTCAAAGAACTGTTGAAAGCGACAGAGCTTGAAGTGGAAACCGTGCTATCTGAACGAGGCACTGTTCTTAAGGAAAATCAAAAACTCTACGACAAAAATGAATGCCTGGAACGTGAGTTACAAACTGCTCTACGATGCCGTGACGAATCGTTAAAAGATTGCGCAGCCCTGCAAGAAAAAATTGAAATCATAAAAAATAGAAGCGAATTCCACACTAATGAGAATACCTGGAAACGCGAGCGCACCGAAAGTAAAGACAAGTTTGATATCGTTTCGGAAAATTTGGAATCGGCTAGCAGAGAAATTGAAAGGTTGAAGAAAGCTTTGGATAAAGCAAAAGCTGAAATAGTGAAAGCTGTTCAGGAAACTGAAATTGCAAAAGGCCGTAGGGATTGGGCGATTTCTGAAAGAGAGAAAATAGTTCAGGAAAGGGACAGCGTTCGTAATCTTTGCGATGAAATCCGGAAAGAGCGAGATACGGCCACGTCAAAACTGTTAGCAGCTATAAGAGACAAAGATGAGGCGTATAAAGAAATAGAACAACTCACGGAGCGACTGGAATCGCAAACCATGTTGAAAGATAACTTAAATAACAACAGCAATGCAACTGGCGAGTTGTGCAACGATTCCTTGGAAGATACTTGCAGAAATCCACATTACAGTGCATTCAGTTTGGATTCAATATACGATCTGGATACACTTCAGCAGTATGAAACGAAGGTTATTGAAATTGATTCATCGTTACTCGAAGACAATGTTTCGGACTGGGGACTAACGATCAGAGAGAATATCGAAGAGTATAATGATAATAACGTTGGCACTCGCATAACAGGACCATACGTGGTGTCTATTGAGCATGACTCTTTGTTTTCCGGACGATTAATGCCGAATGATATTATATATCAAATTAACGGTATTGACTGTGTACAATTTTCGAAAAGAAAATTATTTAAAGCTATAAAGTGCAGCCTTCCAGCATGCATAATGACAATAAAGCGACCAGTGAAACGACTTCTTCCAATCCAAGTTAATTTTGTAAATGGAAACAAAAACCATGGACTGCATTTAGAAACAGGAATATACATCTCCAAAATTGAATCTAATTCGCTAGCGGCGAGTGATGGCAGATTGTGTGCCGGTGATCGAATCATTTCAATCAACGGGAAACCTACCAATAGAATGAAGAATGTCAACGAAATTAATACAATAATCAATGACATGCGAAACAATTGTCTAAGTCTGATAGTTGCAAAAGATCTGATAGACTTTTCGTTTGATATGAGATTTTTCGCCTCAAAAACTAAACTTTTACACAGTACAACTAGTTGCACACAAACAGAAAATCTTATGGAAAGCTTGGAAACCGCTCACAGAGATACCGTAAACCGACTTAGTTTGGACTTGGATAATAATAACCATTTTCTACCATCTGCAATGCCCTTCAGTATTCCAACTACAGCAAGTACTCCAAATTCTATAATAGCAAGTACACCTTCGTCGTCCAAGTCTGCATCGAAATTAACAGGGATGTTGCAAAAGCTGAAAGATAAAATGAGCATAAGTAATCATAAAGATTGTCAGGAAAACGATGCAATCGCTGCCCTTGACTCGGTTCTTGACAGTGATGACCAAGAAACCAGTGTCCCAATGTTTGCAAAATCCCGCGATAAAAAATCTAGAAGAAAATCAAAAGACACACAAGAAGTTCCCCGGGGAACCTGGCCACGAGTCACAATGACAGTTCATACAAACGACAATCACGTTGGTACGGTTTTACATCGGCCAAAAAGAGATCGTCCAAAGCTGAGTATTCCATTGGATAAAACAGATAACAGTAACTATTTCAATGTCGTGTTACCAACGAATGAGTGTAACCCTAAATCACCTCAGTCCATGCCAAGTGGGCAAGCTATTAACGTTCCCGTTGGTGTCAAGAAACGAAATTCCAACCCTGTCGGCAATCATGACACAAGCCGAATGCTGCAATCATCGAAATATGGATATGACTTTAATGTTTCAAAGCCTAGCAAATCGTCACATTCAAGAGCATCGACCTATGATACTCACAATAATAGTCATATAATCAATATTAACCGACATAGTTTAAATCTTTCATCGCTCAACAAACAACAGTTGCAACACCAGCATACACAACATCTAAATTCGACTGATTTCATGCCTAGGAAAAGCAATAATTCGATTGATTCTACAATACTGCCTTCCAAAAGTCCAACCAGCTATACGTTCAACAATAAGACGCCCTTAAAAGATCCACTGGACTGCTACATGTCAACTAAAATCTCAAAGCATTTGTCCAAATATTCCAGCGACACCGATAGTATTGATATTGAGAATGTATCACTGACTATGGCGGGTCATACGCATACACTACCTCATTCTCACTCACGAAAGCAGTCAATCAGTAATGCTAGCAACTCATCTTCGTCGAACAGGACTGCTCCTACAACTGGGACCAGTGGTATAAACTTTCCCATGGGGTATAACTCATCAGGATATTCAACAATTTTACCGTTTCAACCAAATGCATGCTCCCATCCATTAGCTGCTATGCGGCCCTCTGGCAATATGGCACCATCTGCAGAATTTACAAATTTACCACCAACTTCGCATCATTCTCATGGATCGTCTATCGATTATCCATTCAATCGGTACAGTCAAATTCAGTCTTCAAAAGAAGAAGTTCCTTCCGGATTAATAGGACATAGTTATGAAGGGGGAACCTTTCCTCGGAATAAAGTACATCAAGGATACCGAATTCCTTCGAACCAGAGTGTCACCAGTCGTGGAAGTGGAATAAAAATCAGCAACGGATCAATTGATTACTGCAGTTCCGAGCGAGCATCACCCATTCCAACGTTTCAAGTACAAGTATTAGAGCCAGGTCGCATATCAACCTCAAACAAACGAACTTCGTTGCAAGACTATAACGTACGGGGCAAACCTAATATTGGCGAACTGCGGTATGTCCACATCGATAAAAGTGAAATGTCACTTGGTATTAAAATATTTTGCCGCGGCAATGGAGGTGGAGTGTTCGTCTCTAACGTGGGTGAGAACAGCCTTGCTAGTAAGGTAGGACTCCATATTGGTGACCAGCTGCTAGAGGTATGTGGAATTAATTTAAGGAAAGCTACATATGAGCTAGCCGCACATGTTCTTCGCCAATGTGGCAACTCAATAACGATGCTAGTTTTGTACAATCCAGAGGTTTATAACAATCTTACTACAAGTGACGATAATATCGTTCACTCAAGTTCACCAACACCGCAAAATTCACCTCGCACTATTGGAAGGTCCATAATGTCTCCAGTCAACACGAATACGGTTAGCTCCATATCTACGATTGCGCCAAAAGCAATATCAAACAATGATAGCCACCCATCACAATTAGTAAGTTCATCTCAAAGCAATCATTACAAAGAACAGCCGAGATTAATATTCATAGAAACAAGAAAGAGCTCCAATCTTGGAATAAGTCTTGTCGGTGGAAATGCGAACGGAATTTTTGTTCACGGTGTACAAAAAGATTCAATCGCTGATAACGCTGGACTACGAGTAGGGGATCAGATATTGGAGTTCAATGGAACGGATTTGAGAAGATCCACTGCCGAACATGCAGCATTGGAAATAGCTAAACCTGCCGATAATGTAGCTGTACTTATTCTTTATAATATGCAAAGTAAGATTTCAACATCTGCATTGATCATGAACGGTGCAATAAATTATGTTTGTTTTTGTAGAATTCAACCTAATAAAGGATAAACCCGGCGATGCATTATACATAAGAGTAGGTTTCGATAGAAACTGTGATCTGGGAGATTCGGAATTGTCTTTCAACAAGGATGAAGTACTGTATGTAGATAATACCATGTTTGGTGGTGTGCCAGGAAGATGGCGTGCTTGGAAGCTAGACGAGTACGGTCATAAGCTGCAGTGTGGAATAATTCCAAACAAGCTCAAGTATGTAAGAGAAAAGTTGGAAGCTATAACAATTAATAATCCAAATAAATTGTAATCTTAGGGTTGAAGAGGAGTTGCGATTGCTTGGTGATTTGCAAGATGTTGAAACAACAACTCGACGGGGTTCCACTTCAGCAAGGCGTTCGTTCTTTAAAAGAATTAAACCACAAAGAAGCTCTTCAAGAGATTCGAAAGAGTTGGCTAGTTTTAGCAACACTCATCTCAGTTTATATATAGATTCGGGATCCATCAACGATGACGGCTTTACCAGCTATCAACGAGTAGAGAGACTGGAATGTAAGTACAAATGTTTTTTGCATTTTCTGTATCTCTTTTAATAACGCTTGATAATGTTCTTAGATAAGTATCGTCCAGTGCTGATTGTGGGTCCATTGTCAGAATGCGTTATTGAAAAGCTTTGTATAGATTTTCCCGAGCATTTCCACCGATCACAGTTAAGTCAAATGCGCTGCACGAAAGAGGATATGGAGAGTGGAATCCAAAATAATGCTATTGCGGATTACCGAAGAAGAGGCAGCGTTTTCGAGTACACCACAATCCAATCAATACTTGATAATAAGGTATATTCATTTTATTAACGATTTTCAATTGATTTATTCAACATAATTGTGGCTCACTTGCTTTTGTGACAGCAATTTCACAGGAGTTCTCCAACTAATGTCAGTATCGAATTTTCATTTCTAGCAACACCATTACATTCTGGACGTATGCATTTCGGCAGTTGATCGGTTGCAACGAAATCAGATATATCCGATTGTTTTGTTATTACGATTCAAGTCATCGAAGCAGATTAAAGAAATTAAAGATTCTCGCTATTCTACTGACAAAATCTCAGCTAAGGCAGCCAAGGAAATGTATGAACATGCGTTGAAGTTAGAATCAGATTATCGACAGTATATATCAGGTACGTGGTAGATCAATAACGATGAGTTCTTTCATTTAACTGTTTTTTTTTTTCTCTGTATATTTCAGTTGTTATTTCTGGAGTGAATATCGCCCATATGTGTACGCAGATAAAGGCTGCTGTGGACAGTGAGCAAAAAAAAATCTTATGGGTACCAGTTGCATCAATGCTTTAGAATTATTTCCGTGAATATAATCAGTATTTAAAAAGATATTTAAAGAAATTCTCTCAACTGTTGTTTTCTTTTGTTTTATATACTTTTCAACTAATTTTTCCTGTTGTTACTTATCCCTTGTTTGTTTGTTTGGAAGAAACCTTTTTTTTGTTTTTAAAGATTTTTTAAACATATATAGTTTGCTACGAATATCGTTCGTGGAATTTCTGTCCTTTAGTTTTGTACTACACATATACACCCAATTCAGAAGTTCTTTAAGCAGCACTACCGAAGAATGAATCGTAGATATAAGTAATAATCAGTTATACATAAATGAATGCACGACTGGAATTGTGCTAATTTGACTGTAATGTGTATCCAGAATATCCAAAAAGAAGCAATATATTCTTAAAAATGGAAATGTATTGTTTTATTGCCTAATGTACGTTTTATACATGCTACTTATTACTTACGTTTCATACTTGAGTTTATCTACCTATTGTGAGAACTGACCCTTCTTATAAATTTAGAAGTCACGATTTTGGGCATGTAGATATTTCACTAAATGGAAATTCTTCGATATAATGCCTTTGTTATCACAAAGGCATAACCTGACTGTTCGAGTAGCATAGAAGGTTTCTATCATCAGTAAAGTTGGTCAGATGAACTAGACCTATAAGAAATTATGCGATGGGCAGTTCAGTTGAAAACTACATGTGGCACTGAGTGGTCAACTAGATAGTGTAGCGTGATCTCTTCTACGTAACAATAAGTAACGAGATACTCCCTCAACAATAAATAACGCTTGAAAAAAAACTGGTCCCAACCCAGATAATAAACAAATTTGCTATTTGTGAAGCACTTGCACAGTTATAAATTCAGAAGTTTTCTATGCCCTGGGAAATCGTGAAAATGTTCAACCCGAAAAATTTTCTTGACCTCCGGTTTGGTAATACCATGTAATACCGTGCCATTACTAATTATCTGTTTGTGACTCTCTAAATACAAAATTGACGGGCTTCATATGACAAACACTACCACTCGCTGTGGCAAGACAACTGTCGGTAGACTGTGAACTATCCTCACTTGATCAAGTTTAGGCTGTGTTCCGTTTGGCGAATTTTCACTTACATTTGACACTCCGAAAATAAATTATAATGTTCGAAAATCCCTCTGTTGTTGATCATCCGATTTTCAAAAAAGGTATTTTTCAAAATTGATTCCTGGTCTGTCTGGTCAAATTTAAGTGAAAATTCATCAAATGGAACACAGCCTTAATAACCTCTAATTGTACTCAACCTGCCATTGCATTATATGAAGGGCCAAAAACGGGTTGGTTGAATCCACCCACCCTAACCCAGCATAATGTTTCATATAATAATTAAATGAAAGTTAAGAGAAAAATAATGGAAAGATCTCACCGGAAATGTTGCAAAGGAACAGATGACATCACGATGATTTCGAAGAGCTTCCATAGATATGCTGCCGCTACTTCTTCAACCGGTGTTAAAAACAGCACTCTTGCCTTTCGTTCCTCACACAGCAACGTAAACCGCCAACAACCACGAAACTCGCACTATATCTGCTCAGGCTCAGGCTTCAGTTCGCCAGTACACAGTCTGTAAGACGCAGTGCCACCTCACCGGCCAAATCAACTCGCGACAAACGCCGGTATCAGAACCGACAACCACAACGACGTCTAATAGCGGCCACTGCACACTTCGATTGCATTTCCGAAACACAACTTCAACGCATAAACACGACGACGACAACATTGTACAAGCACCAAGGGGTGATCACTCTACATACGCATTTTGCGCCAATTTTTTCCTCAGTGTGCCTCAAGTGTGCCGCAGCTCGGCCGACAGACCAGTCATCGAGTTAACTTTGTTTGTGAATAATTAGATGTTTCGCAACCCGGTATTTTGACAGCTCGAATGTGTTGTTTTACTCGCTGACATCGAGAATAATATTTACTACACTGAAACAAAGATAATAGTTAGGAATACTATTTTGCAGAAAACACTTATTTTCAGTAAAACTACGCTTAATACCGTTAAATCTACCATGATTTCAGTATAGTTGACTATACACATAATGAAATTTAATACCATTCTGTCAAAACAACTATGCTTACTCAAACGGCATAGTAGTTTTGATAGAAAAATAGTAAAATTAAATGAATTTCATTTCTGCAAAAATCTATTGGTGGGATTATTTAATTTAAACCATCAATATAGTATCTTCACAGACATACAGACATAACTCTCGCAAGTTGTTCATCGAACATGCATTTAACGGTCAATTTAAAAGTATTGTAGTGGGTAGTACCAACAATCAATACGAAACTATCGATTTGAAATTGGCTCGCTACTTGACTAGCCTATTGGTCCCAAGCAAACGATTAACGTATCCCATTCTAGTCGGAATTCTAGTACTACACTATGTTTGTTTTGATTCGCTATGAAAGTTTGACAGATAAAATGAGGGGTTATTGGATTTTCCTATGTTTCGAGGGGTGAATCGATTAGCTTGGGACCGAAGATAGTACCAGAGCTGAGCCAAAAAGTTGAGCACGTTTCTTCGGGACCTACTAGTCTTAGAGTTACCTCTATGGTAGTACCGCCGCCTGAGGCGCGCATAGTCGATTCCCTTGCGTTTGACGTTAACAAGCTACCGCCATCTGTTCAGCGTACTACCCACCACAGTGTACTCAACAGATGGCGGTAATGTTTTAGCGACGATGTTTTACAGTGAGAAATATTCAATGTTTATGTCTGTTTGTCTGCGGTATTTTTGTCAATGGATTTTGTTTCTGTGTAGGAGTACCTACACGAACCGAGACACGGACCTTAAGGAGCGGGATGACTTTTTTCTAGATTTGCGAAACGTTGTTGCACCGTTGCAACTTTCTATGCTGTACGATGGAATGGCCGGAGTAGCAGCAGCAGCAACCGCCGTTGGAGGAAACAATCAGACGAACAATAACAGCTCAGAATCACGACGAGCAGCTTCAGTTGGAAGGCAATTCTGGCTGCGCCAATGTTTTGGTTTGGCCATTGACCTTCCGAAATTTATGTTTGGAATATGGGACTGATTGAAAGGGGTGTTGTTATCAATGCGATGTTGTTAATTTTCAGCACAGTAGCGATTGTCCTGGATTTGGTATGGTGGTCCGAATGTGTGAAAGCAGAGTCTCGCGCGAAATGATGTACGGCTTCGGACAGGCGCTGGCTATGTGTTTTAAGAAATTTATGACGGAAAGTAACGGGTGTAGTTTCCAAAAATTGGATTGTGTTAACAACTATGATTATCAAATTGTAGTACAGTGCTGCCAGAAATATTAAATATGATGCAAATTTCTAACCAAACAGTGCCACCAACCGGTGGAAACTAACGATTTTAAATTGGCTCACTACTTGACTAGCCTATTGGTCCCAAGCAAACGATTAACGTACCCCATTCTAGTCGAAATTCTAGTACTACACAATGTTTGTTTTGATTCGCTATGAAAGTTTGACAGATAAAATGAGGGGTTAGTGGATTTTCCTATGTTTCGAGGGGTGAATCGATTAGCTTGGGACCGAAGACAGTACCAGAGCTGAGCCAAAAAGTTGATCACGTTTCTTCGGGACCTTCTAGTCTTAGAGGGTCGTATGAATAAAAGCGTTTACTTTACTTTCCCCGTAAGAAAAGCACGGGAAAGTAAAGCAAACTCTTTTTATTCATACGGCCCAGAGTTACCTCTATGGTATCGCATTCTAGTCGAAATTCTAGTACTACACTATGTTTGTATTGATTCGCTATGAAAGTTTGACAGATAAGATGAGGGGTTCGTGGATTTTCCTACGTTTCGAGGGGTGCATCGATTAGCTTGGAACCGAAGATAGTACCAGAGCTGAGCCAAAATTTTGAGCACTTTTCTTCGGGACCTTCTGGTCTTAGTGCCACTGAGTGTGCCAAGCTGTGCCCATATCTGTTGTTCGCACACTGTGCGGAGTAACCATTCCCTTGACAAGCACTTTTCATCCAGGATGCGGAACGCCAGCACGCCGCAAGCAAAGGGAAGAAAAAACATGATTGCCGAGATCCACGAGGGGCTGTCAACTTGAGTATTTTCGATTCATCTACCCGACTTGAAAAGGCGTATTTATGTATTTTTAAGTTTTGTGTATTTTTGTATTAAAGTGTATTAAATTTATTATGAAACGTATTTTTCGTGAACAAAGTATTTTCGAGATATTTTTGAGTATTTGTATTAGGTATTTTATTAGGTTTCATCGTGTACGCATTTACGTATTTTTTTTGTGTATTTTCTAAATTCAGCTGATTTAAGAAGTTGATCGCCTCTCGGAGATCCACAACAAATCTGCTGTTTCCCGAGGTGGTGCCCATCTCGGCAATTGTTTTGCCGAGGTTCGGCGAAAAAAATGTAGTGTGTATTACAATCTCTTCTTGTAATTTATTAGCAGAAAATATCATTATATCAAATAGGTTGATTTCAAAATTCCGCTAAAAAAAATATAGCAAATATTATTATTATTATTATTTATCTTTATTAGGGAGGCTTTCAGCCTTGGGCTGGTTCGCCTCCACCATATAGCAAATAAATGCCAGCTACCTTGCACTTACACACCTAGACTGTTTGTAACTTTGGCAAAAACTAATTCAAATTTTCTTACAGGGTGATTCAGAATCAGCCATTCCATAGAAGAATTTCGTAAAAATTGGTAGATGTGTTCCTTAACGCAGAATATTAGACCTATATTTTTTATTTTTGTCATTAGGGTAACCATTTCCATGTAAGGGTGATCCAAAAAAAACTTTGTTTTTTAATTCATAACTTTTAAACACTGAGCCGATTTTAAAGATCAAAAAATCAAATGAAAGGTAATTAAAAATACTAAAATATAATGCTTAAAAACTAGAGATTTTAAATTGAAAAACATTGATTGTATTTATTTTTTTTTTATGTTTCTCATAGTTTGTTTACAGAAGACGTAATTATATATTTCTATGAAAAATTTAGGCTTTTTTACACAACATAATCAACTATGTGTTTTTTTAAGTCATCATGTTTTGGGTTTTCGCTCAATACTCCTATGTGACTATAAAATAGGTATAGATTATGTGATTATGTTAGCTATGTATCAATGGAGACGCATGCTAGTCTAGTCACATAGGAGTATTGAGCAAAAACACAAAAACTTTATATCTTCAAAAAATATAACTCAAAAAAAATAAAGTGGTTCAAAAGTTATGAAATTTGGAAAAAGTCTTTTTTGGAAAAACAAATATTTGGACCACTTTAACATGAAAATGGACACCCTAATGACAAAATAAAAAAAATACGGGTCTAGTATTTTGCAATTAGGAGCAAGATTTCCTATTTTTTTTTAAATTCTGAAAACCACTATATCATTTTGCCTTGGAATGGCTGAATAACTGTCACCGATTTCACAAATATGCAATTCTCAGGAAATAAAATGGGTATTTGATCAAGTATTTTTATTTTAAAGTGTGTACAAATATCAGCTTGTAGGATTTGAAATTTGATTCGTTTGATATTTCAAGCAGCCATGGACGTGAAAATGGAGCATATTATAAATCTGTATAAAATCGTGTGTTATCTTTTAGAAACTGAAATCTCTTCGAAAGAATGAAACATTTATTTTTCGCATTATTATAGAGGTACAAAGGAAAATACGTTCAGTATCAGAGCTTAGACGTATCGCCTGGACTTAAAAAGTGCTGGAATTAAAGCGTGCGTGCCAACGGTGGTTCATTTTCGTGACAATTAAGGCAAAGGGAGAGAGATTTGAATTAAAGTAAGCTAAGTTGAAGTATATTTAGTATATCTTGAATATACCGATATCAAAAATTCATGAAAGCGTTCAATCGTTCTGACTAATTTTAAAAGTGACAGATTTTTTCTCAATCACCCTGTACATATAAAAAAAACAACAGTCAGAATTGGTATTTATTGCAAGTCCACATAGTGTTATAACATGGTTTACATAAACCTGAATAGTTTGACTTTAAAGAGCGCAGTACTTCTGGACAAAGTGCTTTGAGTACTTACTTCTGATGAAGTCTACAAGTAGTATACGAAGTACTCGTATCAACTATAACGGAATTAAAAATAGAACCAGAAAGCCTTTTCAATAAAGAACAAAAATTTATTAAATGGAAATTACTGAACCCACTACAAAAGCTCTTTATTCGAGATTCTATCGAAGAAATTGTCTCAAAGGCTGACAACTGTGGTTGATTTTGGAAACTACGTCCATCGGATTATTCTATAACATGGACAATTTTCTTTCCTATACGAGTTTTCAACACTGTTTTACAATATTTTTATTGATTAATATATATTATTGCCCACGGGTTGGCATTTATATTATATGACAGAGGTCAAGTAACGTCATTTTTTGGTCGATACCATTCATCAGCGGCATGATCATATATTGCGTTTTGTAATTCATCTTCTACAATTTGAATGGACTCTTTGACTATCGTTCGCGGACTTCTAGATGTTACTCGAAAATCAAATGGAATGTCGTAACACTTGCATATACAACATGAAGGAAATCTAAACCAGTCAGAGAATATGCCTCTACATTCATTATGTGGATCGTACGCTAGTAGACGATGGAGTCTGTACTGCTGTTCACAACGACATCCTTCTCGGCAGTACATCTGCTTGAACTCAAACGCACATTTCTCCCAGTGTACGTACTGTTCAAATGGATAAAGGTTCAATAAAGCCAGCACTTCTCCTCTGGTGTTGTTGGCCCAAAACGGGGCTACGACTTCTTCCTTCACTGGACATGCGTTCCTGCAATACAAAACGAGCAAAAAACAATATACAATATACAATATTGTAAGACATAGTAAAGTTTTGTATAATAACTTATGTTTTAATTATTTACGTAATCGTGCAGTAGACTGATGCAAAATTTGAAATTTTCGTTCGTGCTCAAACGATTCCAAATTGGGTTCTGGTCAGTCTATCAAAATTTGAACTCATTTGGAATGACACTGACTTGGCACAAACGATTTGAAGTATATTCGGGATATACTATGGGAAAACCTAACTTTTTGTCCATTGTCTTCTAGCCTTTCCCCTATTGTTCTGATCAAGGTTGCAAAGACTCATTTCAGCTAAAATAATGTTTTTCGGAATAATAAAACCAAAAGATGGTATGATGGCATGTTTTACTTGTAACTTACAAGAAGAGGTTACAAAGTATGCGTTGGAAACATAGAACCTGTAAATTTTGCTTTCTATGAGTCACAATCAGCGATTTGCTGATCGCTGAGTGAGTGAGTGAGTGAGTGAGTGAGTTTGTGAAAAATCGCTGGTTGTGACTCTCATGAAGTGAAATAAACAGGTTTAATATGTCAAACACATTCTTTGCAACCTCTTCTTGTATCCTACCAATTCAAAATTTGATCATGGCATCTAATTATTTCAACCTTGGTTCTGATGATAAAATCTATATCTTTAGAGTGGTATAGTGAATTATTAGATAGTTATGAATAAAAAAAAATGGTTTTCCCCTAGTAAGTTCCATAAAAACATCAAATGGTTTGTACCGAGTCAGTTTCTTTCCAAATGTGTTCAATTTTTAGAACAATTATTAGGACACAATTTTAAATCGTTTGACATTGTGCTTGCCACACAATATACAAATTCATGCATTGGTAATTGGAAAGCTCTCAATTGATAACTGTGGAAATGCATTAAGAACACTAAGTTGAGAGCACGCAATAAGCTAATATGCGCTAAGCAATAAGCTTAAAAATGCGAAAAAGAAGAAGAAGAAGTTAAATCGTTTGAGCACTGTGGAACAAAAATTTAAAATTTTGCATCAGTCTAATGTGCAGTCTTCAGCAGTCAATCAAATAACCTCAAGTATTCATCCCCTAGAATGAAATGAAAGATATAGGTACTTTTTTATTTGCTGTTTTGACCATTCCAGTAACAACCCAATTCCATAACTTCATCTTCACGAAGTTATTTTATTGTAGTCAGTTTACTGAACCAAATTAAACCCATCCTAACGGTAAAAAGGTAAATGAATCATTAAACAATGACGATGTTCCTTATTAAGTAAAAAAAATCTCCTTAAAATAGGTCGGGTTGCTCCTTAAATGATTGATCAAAATACGTTAAAAATCTTAAAATGCTCAGTAAATATTTAAAGTACGCTCCTTAAAATAGAGAAAACTGTACATTAAACATTTGAAAATGCTCCTTAGTATGCACCGCTTTGCACCATTTTGAAGTGTAATTGTACCATATATAATCGGAAAAGCTGCTGTAGAAAGGTTAATAAGTACCATGAAATCAGCTGAAATGTTCAGCATTTTTGCACAAATGCACACAATGATTTACTGAACATTTCAGCTGATTTCATGGTTCTTATTAATCTTTCTACAGCAGCTTTTCCGATGATATATGGTACAATTACACGTCAAAATGGTGCAAAGCGGTGCGTACTAAGGAGCATTTTCAAATACTTAATGTACAGTTTTCTCTATTTTAGGGAGCGTACTTTAAATATTTACTGAGCATTTTAAGATTTTTAACGTATTTAGATCAATCATTTAAGGAGCAACCCGATCTATTTTAAGGAGATTTTTTTTACTTATTAAGGATAATTTCACCTGTTTTATTGAGCAAAAGTAGGGCTGCCCATCCTAACGTATATCTTGTCGGTCACCATACTGCTCTGCTTAAAAGCTTAAAACTGCGCTTATGGGAAACTCAGCTTTGCCGAAAACATTCACCATGATTTAAAAAAAAAAAACTGGGTAAAATCATTCCAAGGCCCAACGAAGTTAAATAATGTGTTATGTTTTTAATTACGATATTTGACTTACACTCCCTTAACTCCTGCTAGAGGCTGCTCTTTTTGTGCAACGTCTTGAAAAAGTTGACTTTCCATCGGTTTTGATGTATTTTTCGTATTTTTTACATTTTCTTTTGTCGTCATGTTCACCTGTTCGGAAGCGGTAATAATCATATTCTCTTTTGAAGAATCAACTATTCCTTCGGTAGTCACATCTACTTTTGATTTAGCTGTAGAAGTTTCAACCACGCTGTCGTCGTTCACAGTAGTATCGTTGGATTCTGCATAAGTTGTAAGATTTGAAACTTTATTCACTCCTTTACTTGATTCCTTCATTGACACATTTCCCAGTAAGGTTTCGTTTGTTTCTAGGATTGCAATAGTTGATAATTTTTCAATATCGATTGAACTCCCATTGACGGTATTCATCGTTATTTTACTTTTGTTTTGCTTGACCGAAGCTTCTGTTGCATCTGTGTTAATATTATCCAATGTCACATTTAAAAATGATGGTTTGCTAGTAGTTTTGACTGGAACGAATTTGGCACTTTCTGTTGTTGTCGTTGTTGTTGTTGTTGTTGTTGTTGTTGCTGTTGATGTTGTTGATAGTGGAGATATTGTTGTTTCCGAAAATTTTTTATCTGGTTTAACTGTGGTAGTCTTTTGCGTTGGTCTAAAATGAGGCTCTGTAATAATATCATTACTTTTCTCACGACCATATTCATGGTATGGAGAATGTAAAAGTTTCACTTTCTTTCCGGCATTCATGCGGGAATATTTTTCGGCAGTGCGGTGTATATCATCCATGTCAATTTCATTATTATCTATCTCTGCTTTCAACACAGATATGTGTCTGACATCACCATACATCCTGCGCATAAGCCCTTGATTTTCATGCACAAATCGACGAACAGCATGCCAAGGGTATGCCGATCCTGGTAGATTACAGTAAGCCTGAACGCTGAGATCACAAGGAATGGCTTGAAGCAGATGCGCCGCTCGCCCTTTCCGTGATGCATTTGGGTCGCACGATGTAGCAGAATCGTATCCAAACCCATTTGTTGTCAGTACTGGAATCAGCGTCACCAGAATAAGTGGGTGAAAAATGCCCTATAAATTTAATAAAAATAATAAATTAATGTCTTGATAGCAGTGTATTTTCAATACAAGGGTGCGGCACTACTTCGTCATACATCACTTCGCTTCGGCACACCAACCTTAAATCGGTAATTCATCATCCTCGTAGAATATATTTTACATTAGTCTTAATTTAACTCGTGACGGAAATGGGTCCCTTTTGATGATGTAGTGCTCTACCCTATGTATAAATAGCAGTAGGCTCAGTTGGGTTTGGTTGAGCCCTTGAGCTGTCACGATTTTCCACGCGTGTGAAAAAATTTGAAAAGCTTTGTTCGACAGAGGTGTGGAATGGTTCAGAAAGCGTATTTAGGTAGAATAAAATGTTTGTGCCTAAATCATTAGTGTCTTCGGGAAAGTTTTTGTCATTTATGTTGGCCAATCTTGTTTATGTGCAAGACATTAGGATAGTCCATACAGTTGAAGATGTCTACACTGAGGCAAAATAACGCAAGAATTCCATAAGAACCACTTATGAAATTTAGTCACAAGGAATCGGTATATCACATTTAACCGCATTTAACCGCACCATGGACGTTGAGATTACGAAGTCCGTGTGTTGACCAGTCGTCTTTCAACGCTTGGGAAAATGCAATGGTTAAAGACGTATAAGAGCTAGCTCATGTTAGACGAAAATCATTTATAAGTTTCGCTTATGAAATTCATGTGTGTCGTTCATAAGTCAAGCGTATGAAATTCTTAAGTTTATTTGCCTCAGTGTAAATATTTTTATATGCAATAAACCAGTGTAATGTTGGACAAACTGATACCAGTGAAATGGACTGATTTTTAATAAGGGAGCATCTCAATCCTTGGAACGTGACATACCTAATGAATGCTCCATAAGTACCTAAAGGCCCTTATTACGGATGCCACTTCACGGTGAAGTGACAACTTATCACTCACTTGATTTACACGGCAATCACTTCACCGTGAGTGAAAAGTGGTCACTTCACTTCGTTTTCACCGTGAAGTGACACCCGTAATAAGGGCCGGCATCTCTTTTTGTTGGTAATTTTGGTAACTGTTGAAAAACCGATTTTTTTACCCTTATTACGGGTGTCACTTCACGGTGAAAACGAAGTGAAGTGACCACTTTTCACTCCCAGTGAAGTGATTGCCGTGTAAATAAAAAAAAATCCGTAATAAGGGCCACCATCTAGTTGCTTGGGCAAAACAGTGCGGTAAAATATTTTGAAAAAGTGTCTAGAACATATTGTTTACGAGAAATTGGTATATGAAAAATTACTCTTGAAAACCCGTTTGTTTAGTTGTCACCCTACATCACATATTATAACATGTATAAATCGTGAATAATTAGAGATAGAAAATTGATCCGTGTTGCAAAGTTGCTTCAAATGAGTTTTTCTACCACTCTGGCTCTAATAATTAAGTAAGTATTTTAAGAGTGGTTCCTACGTCAATGAGTTCTAAATATCCACTTTTAAGATATTCGAGATGGAGCACAACAATGCTCGACAAAATTGTAGAACAACTCATTGGAAGCAACTTTTTTCGACTCGACCTTTTCCGATTTGTATCAAATTTAACATAATTGTGTGTTATTGGCATTCATTCACATTTTTGGAAAAATTCCGCCATTTTGGATTTTTTTCAAAATGGCGTCTTCGACATTTTGCAATAAATTGAATCGAATTAATTTAATTTAATTCAATCAGAAGTGACGTTTTCGTCCTACAATTTATTCAAAAATGATAGACATTTTGAAAAAAAAACCAAGGACCAAATGACCGATTTTTTTTTGTGAAAATGTGAATGATTGCCCATAACACACAATTATGCCATGAAACAGCTCTAAAGAAAGCAATTTTTATTTTTAAAAGTTGTTCTTGATTTATACATGTTTTTAATATGTATAAGCGGCGACTCCTAAAAAATCGGGTTTTCAAGAATAACTTTTTATGAGATCAATGTAAACCGTAAACATCATAAACAGTAGTGGTTCTAAGTTCCATTCTCTTACAAAAAACTTAAGAATAAATTTCATTTTTCCGATCCCGAACAGACATTTTTCGATCTCTTCGAGCTAAGTCGATTATAGTTATATAAAAATAAAAATATATAAGTTATATTACAACCGAAAACACATCCAAGTGTACGAGAATGGCATAGTAAAAAACAGTGAAAACATAAAAAACCACCCGAAATGTTTCATAAATAAAAGTTAATTTAAATACTGTACAGCTGAAAGCTTATTAAGGTGATACTCTAAGGAAGCCTTAGCGTGAAACTTCAAAAGCACAAATGTCAGCTTCCACAAAACATACAAATTTGAAATTGCTACTCTCTGTTTTTAGTAGCACAGCAAACAAGGGGTAGCAATTTCAAATTTGTATGTTTTGTGAAAGCTGACATTTGTGCCTTTAAAGTTTCACGCTAAGGCTTCCTTAGAGTATCACCTTAAAAATGTAAACTATAGTTAAATTATACAGTTTGAGCTATTCTCGCTGAAACCAGCCACTTTTTGTTCGAGGTTCTTAAACACCATTTATTTCGTACTTATTCGATAGCTCTAGTTATACAGATAAAAAATCCCTTGTTAACTGGGGGCTCGATCAGTTTAATAATAAAAGATATTTTTCAAATTCTTGGATGATTTATTGATACCTCAAAAAATTCCTGCAAAAAAACCTTAATGTTTGCATACCATTCGAAAGGGAATCGGGAATTATTTTTTTTTAAAACAGTGTACGCCGTCGTTGCTACTCCGTTACTGACCGTAAATTGCACATAGAACTCCATATATGGAGCTTGGGATAAGATTTCCATCTTCAATGTATAAGGTCACTGATTCATTGTATTTATAGATCAGTACCGACGCCGGCCACGTCTTCCCGGTTTTTTCGGGAGGGGAAGGATGATTAGTTCGTTGTTACTATAGAGACCGAGTTTACCTCTGCTGTTCCACAATTGCCATGGGAAGGAAGTTGTGTTACTGTGGCGGTAAGTGATGCTATCAGTAGCAGCATACTGTTTTTATTTAAATCTAGCGGGCAAGAATAAGGCATAATAAAAAAATTGCAAGTAAGGGGAAAGGGAACGGGCCTGGGATTGAACTCCCGACCTTTCACCCGACATTCTGCTAAGTAAGCAAAAACGGTAACCACTAAGCTAACGAGGCTCGTCTTATTTTGGTTACTTTCATTAAATTTAAAGGTCTGTAAAAAATGTTCCTGCGCCAAATATCAAAATTTTATTAAATTGTAGGGTCAATTCATAGTCACGTACCTATATTCTTGAAGGGGGACGGGTTCCTTGAATTTGTGACAACACGTGTGATAAATATGAAAAATTGAGTGACACAAAGTTATGTTGGTTTAAGTAACAATTTATAAATTCCGGAGACAGTAGGTGGTAGACCTGAGGTCTGCTATCCCTGCGGGACTACCATTTTAGGAATAACTTCCGGGGATAAGTATTTATCGCTTGCTCGCCTCGTCGCACCTCCTCATTTTGCTATTGTCAGATGAATTTCAACAAACATTACATTGAGTTCGAAGTTTAGAAGTTTTAGCCTAGATTTACACACTTAGATTATTTTACAGGAGTCAGTATTTTTTTACTGGGTTTATGAATTGCTGGAAAAGTCGGTAAAAATTCAAATGACCGTTATCCGTAAGGAATCGATGAAATTGACAAATTTTATTTTCCATCATTAAATGGGCTAAATCTGCACAAGTTTGGAATAAATTTTATCATTATTGAATTTTCAAAAGATTTTTAAATTTTTACCGAACTGTTCCGCAATTCAAAAACCCAGTAAAACCTTACTGACTGGATTAGTGTGTAGTATTCATCAGAAGGACAAATCATCTGAAGTCGCTGTTAGGATCAACAAAAGATTCAATAAATGTCTTTGGAAAAGCCGGTGTCTACAAAATCTCTTGTCCAGATTGCAATAATATCTACATTAGTCAGGCGAAAAGGACTTTGAAAACAAGGTCTAAAGAACACATCGCAGAGGTAAAAAAGGCTAACAAAGATATGGATAAAGGACTTCATTATGACTTTAAATCCATGGTTGCAGAACATATTTCTTTACAAAGGGGCACAATTTGACAAAGGATAATATAAATATCCTGTGAAGTGTATCTTCACCTTGGAAAACAAACGTAACAAAAAGTTTAGAAATACTTAAACATAATCCATCAACATTGCTTAATCGTTATCAAGGAAACGGATACTCGAGACTCTTTAGCATGCTACCTAAAACCACACATCGTAGCATGCCTATATCTGTTGGAACCTTTGGTTAGGTAAATATAACAAGGCACATCTCTGAGTCACCCCACGAATCATTAGAATCAGCCCTTGAAAGAAACAATAATAAGCTTATCATTATAAACAAAATATTACCACAGACAAACAGACATAACTCTCACAATCACTTTCTTCATCAATAAGATTTTAGTTAGGAATGCGCTTGCATTTGTCATGGTGGCGCCACTGAAGCGTTAAGCAAGCCACTACATTTAAAACTTAGGGGCTGTTCATTAACTAAGTAGACAGTTTTTTTTTATTCTTGACCCCCCCTCCCACTGCGTAGACAATTGTCCATACAAAATTTTTAAAATTTGTAAGGGCCGTGGATAATTGCCAACCCCCCCCCCCCCCTAAGCTGTCTACGTAGTTTATAAACAGCCCCTTATCGATGATGCCAGTTTTTTTTTCAGGTCGATTTAGTAGATGTCAGCTCTTGAGAATGATAAGGGGACCAAGGCATCCCACTGGAGCCATATATAGTAATGATCCGGTTTTGTCAGCCCCCTTTTGAAAATCTTTTCTAATTTTCTACGAAACCCATGCGCTTTTTCAGTGGAATTACACTAAAGTTTACCTTAAACACACTTTTAATGATAAAAGTTTTATGCCGACAAACAAACAGTTGATTGGTCATTCCGCTTGTTGTGTAGTATAACGCTGTATGATGTACACAGTATTTGTGAACAAATAATTTGAATGAATGTAATATAATATTTTTTTTTTTTTCCTTTGGTTTGTTTTTTCCGTCGATCTTGTTTTCCGTGCTGAGCACCAATGCTACCGACGTGCCAAGAAGGCAGCTCCCACACCTGGACCCTACCTATCGACCCATCAACTCATGAACCGGGGACCAACGGCTTTACTTCCCATCCGAAGGAAGGCGTGATCAGAGATGTTATGCCTCAGAACATCCCGGCGGCGCCGACCGGGATTGAACCCAGGCCTGCTGGGGTGAGAGCGTGAGAGGTAATCACGCTTACCACTACACCACCGGCGCCGTTCAGTAATATAATATTGTATCCACTTTTAGTAAATGGTGTTCAACACATCAAGAATAACATTGATTGATACATATTGTTTGCTATGTACTTATTAAAGTGATGAGTGGTGGTACAAAGGGCACTCATTGTCACATTTATAAACTTGTTTCCAGCAAATGAAAAATTACACCAAACAATCAAAGAAATCGCCTGTGACATTACATTGTGTTATTACTGCCTTCATATTGATCCTCTAAGTCTCTAGAGGAAACAAGCACACTTGACCCTCCTGTTTTTTTTTTCGAAATCTCTTCGGACAAGTTGCTAAAAAGTTTCACCCAGACGGAAGATAATGTTATGCTGACATTTGTGACCGTGCAAATTACTGAGATCAGTTCTTATGTATTCTCAAGGGACTCCTTAGACTTTTGATTTTAGCCATATGAAAATCGTTTATAACTTTTTGGACATTTAACCAAAATACTGCGATACGATACGATACTGCTGTGAAAAAAAGCTTTGAATAAGTTGAATCAATCAATTTTGGTTGAAACTGTTCATGAAAAAAATGGTGTACATCATTTTATGTTTTTTTTATTATGTTATGTTACTATCCTTTAAAGTCTTAACATCTACCAAAACAAATTACCTAATAATAATCATACTTTCCGAAAACAGGTTTATACACTATTGTATACACCCAACCCTTTTTTAATGCTTTTTTCGATGTTCAAATGAAACCAAGCTTGATGCAACTGGTGTCAAAAAATCGTAGAACAATATGGTACCTACAGAAATTTTTTAAATTCACAACAGAAAAAGAAAACAGGGAAAATGTACATACGTAAAAAAATGTTGGGTGTACAGAAATCACTACGTATGGTTTTGAGCTTAACATTCCCACTAAGGGCCAGTTCAAATATTGCATAGCACTGAAGGGGGTCAGCTGTACATAGAAGTTTATTACGTAACACAACTATGTTTATAATATTCCACGAACACAAGAAAAGTATAACAATATGGTCGAGATCCAGCATAAATTTAAATGATTGTTCAAGCAAGCAATTATGGAAAGTTTCATGAAAACCGAAGAAGGTAAAGTCCAATCGATCCATCAGTTGGTGTTGAAATTCACTGGTGAAAATGGTCCTAGAATCACGTGGTGCGCACTTTTCAAAAAATCCAATATTTTAATTGGTCATAATTATACTATTTCAAATTGAATTCAGATCAGTAAGAATCTTCGAAACGAATTAAAGCTTGAAGTACGTCAGTATGAAAAATAATATTCAAAGGACGCATTCAAAAATACCAAGTTACTGCAAGAAGGCTCTGTGCTAAAACTGATTTACCAAGAGAATTTAAGACAATGTTTACTTAGCTAAATATGAAGTTTTGATATGATGGTTCAAAACTGGCAATACTTTGCTACTCAGAAATCCATCAAGATAAGCAGGTGTTTTCTAACAAACCTGCTGCATGACTTCTTAAACGATTTTTCAATAAACCAATGTGTGCAAATGTATGATACTTGTATCTATATTTGTTGACTAGAACAAGTTAAAAACGTAGAAAATCATTACTCACCAATTCAACTCGTTTTTGTTGGTTCATATCCTTGGTCATTAATCACAATCATAGAATGAAAAAGTGTATCTGCTTTCCCCAAAATGTGTACATTTCAGGCTTTGTTACTCAAACTTTCCAACACTAATAGACGACACAATTCAATTTTCTAGAACGGCAAATCTAGAAGTAAAATATCACTGACATTGTTTGTAATAAAATTAAAAGCTACTGCAACTTCCATTCGAGACAGTTGATTATGAAGATGCACACTTTCGACTTTCTCCTTTTCATTTCATTTCGTATTTTAAACATCTCACATAATCTTGCTTTCTATTCACACCTTTGCAGCGCAAACGTTGCTCAATAAACTACTCGAATCAGCGTTTTCATATTGCACGAACCAACACAATATAAAAAAACACGTGCATATATGTTACAGTAAATTAGACTTAGTCTCACTTAAAATGTTTCTTCAAGTTTTGTTAAAATAATTGTTAATATATTGTTTTAAATATTAAACTACACTGACACTGTTTTACGATATTCAAAACAGTAAATCTGTCAACATTTTGCCAATATTACTTGTATTGACAGCAAATGGTAGCACTTCGATACAGTCGTCTTGAACGTTCAAAATTAACTGTTGTACAAGACATGATGCTGGTACTGACGACTTGAAACCATGAGAGACGGGAGAAAAGACGATATACTGGAGAAGTTTATTTAGTAGGTCAGTAGTAGCGCTCTCGCTTTGCCGTCAATCCACCGAGTTGATCGCTGCTCGTTGCACTTTGCGAACGTAATCGTTGTTTGGCGTGCGTGTTCATATGATATGGTTGAAAAGTGAAAACACCTGAATAATCTATCAAATATTTACAAGAGAAATTTTCCCTTACGTACTCACACATAATATTTTTTGGAAAATATTCGTGGTGTTCAAAAGTGAACTCATGTGTTTGCTAGGTATAAAAACAACTTCAAGTTCTTTCATGTTTAGCTTTAAACAGTAATTAATAGTTTTTCTTTTATTTCTAGGGCTGGAAACGATAACTTGCCTTGTCATAAAAGATAAATGCATTTGGATCTTGCACATTTTATACCCTTCATACAAACAAGGGTATGTATAAGTATAAGGGTACTTTTGATCTAAGGCCCGGAGGGCTAAATGTCAATCGAATCAGTTCGACGAGATCGGAACATGTATGTATGTATGTATGTATGTATGTATGTATGTATGTGTGTGTTAAAATTTTGCATCACAAGCTTCAGATGATTTGGTGTACTGGTTTTGGAGATACGGTCGGAACTTATTCCGGTGAGTACGTGTCATGAGACTAGAAGGAACCTGAAACATGCCATTGTGGATTGAAAACAAGCTAGGTATAAAAATAACTTCAAGTTTTTTCATTTCAGCGTTAAACAGTAGTTAATAGTTTTCCCTTTATTTCAGAGCTGAAAATGATGCTATGTATTAAAAGATAAATGCATTCGAGCATTGCACATTGTATACCCTTCTTACAAACAAGGGTATCTATACCAACATTTGATTCGAAGCCCGGAGGGTCAAGTGTAAATCGACTCAGTTCGAACAGATCGGAATATGTATGTACGTTAGACTGATGCATAATTTGCTCCCCAGTGCTTATATCAAATCGGGTCCCAATTAGCCTCCCAAAATTTGAATTTGTTTGCTAAAAAACTGACTGCACAAACCATTTGAAGTTTGTATGGGTATTATTATGGGAAATCCAAACTTTATGTTCTTATAGGAAATTTTCTGAGCTATAGATTTGCTGATGTTCAGTCAAGCGGCAAATGAAATACCGTTCCGATTCCAATTTCGGACGATTCAAATTTCGGACACTTTCATTTTTAATTAAATATTACATCCAGTTAGAAACAAAGTAATAATGTTAGATGATCGTGGAGGGCACTAGTCAAAAAAATTTAAAATTTACAAGACATGTGGATCATATTCGACCGAGATAATCAACTTTTAAAAGTGTCCGAAATTCGAGTTTAAGTGTCCGAAATTTGAATCGGCACGGTAGTTATTAACTCTAGATAAACATTTCAAAAGCTCCTATCTGCATTAATCGATTCTCTTCATCTACTTTCTCTTTCGTTAATAACTCAGCTGCAAAACCTTTCCCTGTTGTATTTGAGGATTTAGACGCTCGATAAGAGCCTCCTTTATCAAACTATGTGGTAAAAACAGCTCAAATTTAGTTTGTATAGCAGTGGTTATCACAAGAGAAAGTAGATGAAGAGAATCGATCAAAGAATCGATGACATGATCAAGCAGCTGCTTTTGAGCAACACTGCATTGTGCAGTTTGACATAGTAGTCATGATTTTTGTGCTCTATTTCATACGCCTGAAAAACCGAGGGGGACGACTCTATCTACGATGCAAAAAAGATTGTGTTTTGCTGTGGCTAGCTGCGCGCACGCTGAGTAGATAGAAAGAAGATTGATGACGATTCTGAAGATTTCCTGCAAAAAGATGATGAGTGATGCAAGTAGATGCGACAAATGAAAGAAGATTTTTCGAAGATTGATTCGCTAGTGTGAGATTTGTGGAGCATCTAAACTTGAGATTTAGATGTGTCGCCCCCCTCGTGAAAAACCAATGTTGCCTACTGAGCAATTCGACAGTGAGCATTCATAAGGGCGAATACGCGATGATCGATTCTCTTCATCGATTTTCTCTTTGCATTGCTACAGCTAGGCGAAACAATTTTCTAGAATTTGTTCAATGCAGAGTAGTAACAGGTTGTATTGGCTATCAAAAGCAACAGCAAACGCATCGAGAAACGTTAAATCTAGCGAGTTATTAACAAAAGAGAAAATCGACGAAGAGAATCGATCATCGCGTATAGGCCCTTATGCATGCTCACTGTCGAATTGATTTAGCATGATCATTAGACATCATCAGCATCTTAAACCAATAACAACTTTTGTTCCATAAATTTAATCGAAAAATGGTCTTGAGCAAAGTTGTAGCTGAGAAAATTTCACGCGATAACATTATATGGTGTAACAATAAAGATATGAACAAAAAGTTTTCTTTTCCCACACACCAAAAAAATCTGAATGTTACTGGCGATGTAAACATCCATGCATGGAAACATTCATACATGTAAACTTCCTTTTCACGTAAATTAGCAACTTGCAAGAAATGTTGCAAACAAAAGTGGACAGTTGCATACAATATATGGGATATTGCATGACATGTCTCATAAATTTACACGATCTATAATCTAAATTTGTATGATATATGACGCTCCATTTATGTGCATCATAGTAACGGAAATTTACACTACTTTTTTTTAGCTGTGCATAGTAATGCCCATACAAACTTCAAATGATTTCTGCACAGTTAGTTTCATACCAAGCAAGTCAAGTTTTGGGAGGTTATTTAGAACCCGGTTTGGAACAGGTTAAGCACTGGGAAGCAAACCGTTCATTTTTTTTTCAGGTCAATGCGGTTCGTGTAAATAGTTATAATTTCTTCGCCATGTTCTTGAACATTTATCAATCGAATAAACATTGTTTATACTGTCTTTTTTTAGTGAAGGAAAGCCCATTCGAATGAAGCTCCTTTCAAGCCTCTTCTTCGATAGGCATAACACCTTCAATCTTTTAGAACGAAGTTTACAATAGTTGCACTTTCCAGTGAGCTGGATCGCTCTATGAAGGAAGTGCGACGGTAGCTTATAATCTAATTCAATACTTATAATCTATTGCAATGCACAAACAGAGGCAGTGATGTATGCGTAGAAATATAGATGAAACAAGCTATGTCTAATACTGGTGACGACGATGAAGACGTAGGTGATGCAAGCACTGGAAGTATTGATTAACTTCATTGAGGCTTCGGCCCGACATATACCAATATTCGTTTCCTGATAAAGAACTAGCATTTCTTCCGGACCATGTAGCGAGATTAGGAGCTGGAGGGCATGGATCCTAAATCATGAGGAGCTCTTGGAATGCTGAAGACTGCAGCCGGGACTCGAATATTGCACAAGCTATTCAATGATGGTAACAGCGATGAGAGCGTAGATGGTGCGAACTCTTGCAGTTAGTTTTAGAACTGGATGGCATGGAACCAGCAACCATATGAAGTGGTTGTAATGATGAACAGTGCGACCAGGACTCGAGAAAAGTGGATGTTCATTAGAGACGCAGTATCTCTGGCTTCGACCAGACATATACCAATATTCGTTACATGATACAATAACTGGCATTTCTACCAGACCTTGTAGCTAGTTTTGAAACCGGAGAGCATGGACCCAGAACCACACAGCTAAAAAAAAGGAGTGTAAATTTCTGTTACTATGATGCACATAAATGGAGCGTCATATATCATACAAGTTTAGATTATAGATCGTGTAAATTTATGAGACATGTCATGCAATATTCCATATATTGTATGCAACTGTCCACTTTTGTTTGCAACATTTCTTACAGGCTGCTAGTTTACGTGAAAAGGAAGTTTACATGTAGGAATGTTTGCAGGCATGGATGTTTACATCGCCAGTAAAATTCAGAATTTTTTGGTGTGCAGAGCCGTACAAAAAAAAACAATGAGTGCAGCCGGAACCCGAATGCTGGACAATCTGTGGCTGAGGCCGTGAATATTGCGAATTATTGCAGCTCGTTTGAAGCCGGAGAGCATGGATCGAGAACTATGTGGAGCGGTTGAATGTTGACCAGTTTAACCGGAACCGAAGTGGAACATTGGATTCGTGAATAACATGTTCATTTCAGTGAACCGTGACGAAATTTGTCGAGGGAAGTCATTCCCCTTAAGTACTCATCCCCTAGGTAAAAATGTCAAGATCACAGGTATAAAAATTAAACTACAACGTGCAGAATCAGAACAAGGTTATATCACGCGCCCAGAACCCAGTTGTCAGGATACTCTAAATGGTCAGAATCTGACTTGATGATGATCACAGCACATGATAATCATAGAACCAGATAACTACGATTATATTTTGCATCCAGGACAACATTGTTCCACACGGATGCATTCCAAGGAAGTAAACAGAGTTTAACTTGAACAAACCCCATCAATCATATGAAAACTTTTAAAAATATATGCGGACAGGGCCACATTGGCCACACCCGGATATGGTCGAGGTACTTCTAAGGAAGGTACCTGAAACTGTAGATATAAAGTCACATCAAATCACATAAAGGTTCAATAAATCGACCATTGCTGGTTTGCAGACCAGGAGAATATTGGTTATTATTTTATCCAAAGATCAATTGCAATACATCTATCAATCATGTAAAATTTACAGAAAAATATTTGGAGTCTTGGATTGTTGTCCATGGGGATAACGCCTAAAGGTATGCAACGCTTCATATAATACAGCTGCTGCGAATATTCTATTTAGATTATTAACCGGTTCAATATAAGCAATAAAATAACTGATACCTACCAAAAAGTTACGTTTAATCAACTAACAGAATCATTGCATAATTATTATTGGTGAAAAAATCATTTCAAGATGCATTCAGGCATATTGTATGGGTGAGCAATAATTAGAAAAATTGTGCAATATTTCATTTCATTTTCATTTTCATTTTGCAGCGTTTGGTGGGGCAATGGGAGCGCAAGTCAATCCAAAGCCGAGGATAAAGGAAAGG